CTCAGGAAACTGTTGATCCATCCAAAAGGGTTTCTGATGCTGATACCAGTGCAGCCGCTGCCCCTCAGCAACCAGTTCCCTCAGCCGCTGCCACTGCACCAGAACCTCAGCAGCCCGGGGCTATGGATCCTCAGCCTGAACAGAAGGACGCTATGATGCAGCCGTCAGAGGCAACACCGCCGGATGAGAGAATTCCTGATGAGCCTGAACAGAAGGACGCTATGATGCATGCGCCAGAGGCACCACAAAAGCCTGATGAGAGAATGCCTGATGAGCCTGAACAGAAGGACGCTATGATGCATGCGCCAGAGGCACCACAAAAGCCTGATGAGAGAATGCCGGAACCGTCAGTGGCAGAAAAACCAGCAGCAGATGCTGAGATGGTTGAGGGTCAGCAGGAGGACCCTGACTTCGACGAAGCCATGGAGAGCGAGGAGGATGATGTAGCTGAGGCGGATGATGCTTGCATCTCTCCATCCGAGGATGATGAAGATGAAGATGAAGATGAGTTGTTAGCACCTGTCATGCGCAGACCTGCAGCCCAGCGCCCGGCGACAGCCAAGGCAACAGCAGCAAAGGGAAAAGCCAAGGCCAAGCCCAAGCCCCAGACAAAGAAGCAGCCCAAGGCGCAGGCAAAGCCGAAGCCGAAGTCAAAATCACTGGCTAAAGCCAAAGCCCAGGCTAAGCCTAAGGCTACTATCCGCAAGGCTGATAACTCCAAGCAGCCTGCTCCGAAAGGAGCGTCCCGTGCCAGTACCAAAAAAGCCAAAGCGCTAGAGGGCACTCCAAGCATCACACAGTTTTTGGCGCAAAGCGCTGCTGATTTGAGTTAGTGATCCATCAATGATGTTTGTTGATCGCTTGTTGAATTTAGAGTTGCAATGCAGTGGCAAGCAGGTTGTTGTTTGTGTATGTTTTTTTTGTGAATCTGCAGGGTCACTGTCACTGTCTAAGTGGAGCTGATGTTGGAGATGCTGCAGTGATGTTCCTGTTGTTGTGAGTTGTGGCCTATTTGTTTTGGTGCTTCGATTCCAAGCTTGGTAGATAGAAAGTGTGCATATATGATAAGATATGATAAAATACTTGAACACTGTACACTGCACCGCTTTTCGAAGTACCTTTCACCACACTTTCGCATGTGGGATGCGGAATGGTTCAAATGGCCCTTGTGATTTGACATACCACTCGTCGGCACGGAGACAAAAAGCAGCACTTGCTGATGACAGCAGTGTTCAAAGCGCATATTTTTCCATTAGGGGCATAATGAAATCAATGTTGGTTGGTTTTTGTCATCTGAAGTTGTCTGTGGCCAACAAGCTATGCTATCCATCAAGTAGGCTATACTCTCACTCCTTATTTCCATATCCCCGCTCTTAATTGCAAGCGGTAGCCTGACTTGTGAAATTTAGCAGCAGAAGGGAGGCAAGACGGACACAATGACCAACAAGAAGGGAAACAAGAAGGGAGACAGAAGTGAGACAAGACAGACACAGTGACCGACAAGAAGGGAGACAAAAAGGTAGACAAAAGGAAACAGAAGGGAGACAAGACGGACAACATGACCAACAAGAAGGGAAACAAGAAGGGAGACAAAAGGAAACAGAAGTGAAGCAGGAGACAAGGCGGACACAGTCACCAACGAGAAGGAAGACAAGACCGGAAACAAGGGGAGACAGAAGGGAGACAAGGCGGACACAATGACCAACAAGAAGGGAGACAAGAAGGGAGACGACCCTGGGAGACAAAAGTAAAGAAATCACATGGGCGACAAATGAGTAGAAATGCTGCGTGGCCAGCAGAAAAGGGCGGACACCAGCAGTGCGGGCACCGAACCTGGGAGATAAAAGTAAAGAAGTCAGCTGGAAGACAAATGGACAGAAATGCTGCGCGGCCAGCGGAAAAGTGCGGACACCAGCAGGGCAGGTACCAAAAGTAAAGACATCAGCTGGAAAACAAATAAGTAGAAATGCTGCATGGCCAGCGGAAAAGGGCCCAGGGCGGACACCAGCAGTGACGTGGACACATCTTAAGAAAGAATTGAGAACCTCTAGCAGTAAACTGTTGCGGGAAAAAAGATGAACAAGGGAATAGGGCCCTTTAAGTTCCCTACTATACCTTCCTGCTTTCATATCTCTTTGTTCTTGGTTGTCCCTGCTGTGCTTTTTCCTTCTTCTTCTTCTTCTTCTCCTCCTAGCGGTCCTAACGTGTGAAGCCAGGCAGCTGCTCAAGCGAAGAAGCAAGGAGCCACTGGCCTCATCATTCGCTGCGAACAGGTGACTCGCTTGAAATAGAAAGCTTGAAGCTTGAAGTTAAATAGAACGTTTTTTGCTACTAGTAGTAATGGCCTCCACCCTATAGTAGCGATGGCCTCCAACCCAGTAGCATCTTCCAGGCTTCTCACGCAATATTGATTATACCTCCACATCACCCCCATTCATCCACACGATTGTCAGAAAGGAACAACAACATCAGCGTTGACTCAGGCACTATCCCTGGAGAAGCTTGCTGCAAGTGTGAAACTCAAAGTTGGGAGCTGGCAATGGCGTGCAGTGACCAGTGGTAAAGTTCAATAATATCACATCCAGTCTCTTCCTTGGTATATATGGGAGTTGATCGACGGGGTAAGGAGTTTTATATAATTTTATATGAAACAGCCTTTCAGATGTTGTTAGAACCATCCGCGAAAGATTCGCGATGAGGTTCGCGAAAGTATTTTTTCCGCGAAAGATTTATCGAAGGTCATCGCTTTCATTGTTATCCTTTCTACCGGACTGACAAAGAATAGAAACGCAAGGCAACCCTGCAGCAGAGCCAGTGAGCGGAAGTGTCCCCATATGTCACAGATTGGCGAACTGAAGCCTCAACATTTCCGTGCCCAGCCCTGGCAGTGTGTGAAGGATTCTCCGATTCCTGTCCCCACTGTCACAGACTAGCAATCTGGGTAGGCGCAGCCCTGACAGTGAGGCAACGACCTGCAGCTGCTCTGACGGGCTGTGCAGATGTTTGCAAATTTTACGGCTTCCCGGGGAAAGCGCCAGTGAAATTTCGCGAAAGATCCGCGAAAGTTGAGGCCCCCCAACATCCCCCAAGCTGCATCACTCTGTGTTGGTAGCTGACACGAGGATTGGGTTGAGTTGTGCCTGACTCTATTTGGCACTTGTCGCACAGATGCTGCAAGTAACCCTGAGTAGCTGTGGAAACGTTCAACCATCTACTGGGGTCATGCTGCAAGATGTCTCTCCCTATTTTGTGATACTATGACATGTTCCGGCTCATGTTAGCTAGACATGGTTGTAGGACCATGCTTCACGATGAGGCCGCGAAAGATCCGCGAAAGATATCATTTTTCCGCGATGAATGGCCATTCCAGGATGAAAGAATATAGATCAACCACCATATATATATACACATTTTGGTTTGTAAGCAATTTTAAAGTATTTTGAATGGAATTGAGACTGACCCCTGTATAACATGGCATGACGTACTTTGAGTGGTGGCACCTTGACAGCACCAAAAGCTAGAGGTGCTGATGAGGACGAGGTGCCGGAGCTTCCAGCTGTCTTCGTGACGAAGAAGGTGGGTGAGGCTGGGTAGTGAAGCTGAACATAACAGCCATGGCATGTGGTGGAGCTGATGACGGCATGAACCAGGCAAATGGGTGTGCAGATTGGTGTGACCGGTGATCAGTGGATTTGGCAAATTTTTTTGCTTTCACCCGTGCCTATTTTTTTTTGCAAGGCTTCGGTATCAGAAAAAACAAAAAACTCTAGAGAACTTTCTGATACTTTCTGCATTAGGGTATTTTAGGACCCAAATCATGTTCCTGGACAGCATCCAGCGTCCACCACAAAAACAGCAACAATGATTTCCAAACGTTGGACCTTTTCCATCTTTGCCATGGCTCAGTTTTCGAGTTACTTGCAATGTTTTTGACGCCTCCACACTGCACCCTGAACACCGTAAACACAAATACCATCGGTGTTGTTTCCAAAGCGGATGGAAAGCAAAAAAATTTCCAACCAAACAAACATAAACAAACTGGATAGTTGACAATCCCTAGCATGGCAAGGGCCCGGCCCCCATGTGGGACCAAGAACGCTGCTTTTTGTGCACCTTTTGCACCTTCAGAGGCCCAAAATGTAAATAACATCTCTGCCGCACGTCACACTGCTGTGTCTTTGAAGGCACCATTTGCGTTTTGCGATACCCACCTCGCAAAACACAAAAGCACCGCAAAGGACGGCGTGCCCCAACTGCACAAATTTTGAAACATCGGCGAATTGGCCACGAAAAGGACCCGCCTCACAGCGCCAAACATGAGCACCAGCAAGTGCAAAAGGCCACCCGGAGTGTTCAAAAGGCCAAAAGCATAGCCTAGCGGTGGTGTTAAAGACAGGGATAGACAGGGTTACAGATGGTTACAGTGTTTTTGAGGTGGTTTTCAAAAGTACCGTGAAGAAATTAAATGATTTAAGTGTATTTTGTGCAATGGAACTTGCAATTGCTATTTACAGTGTTTTGGGCCTCTTAAGGTGCCAAAAGTCAATAGCAGTGTTTTGGATGTTATTCATGTATTGAAACAAGAGCAAGTAATGAAGAGCATCGCCCTCGGAACATGCTTTTTTGACTAGTTGTCCCGTGCATCAGAACTCATCCCGTCACCGTTACGCTACAGCTCAAGATCAATTTTCCTCGAACAGGGTCGGTGGGTTTTGAACAGCTCTGGTTTTGCACTCCATTCCACTTACAAACCTGTTGTGCATCCACTTCCGCAGCCAGTGTCCTTACCTGTGTCACAGCGGATTTGTTCTGAAATTGTTGCTGCAAGGCGCTCAATGAAAGAGGTATCGTCCTGAAAGGCTGCGAGTTCAGGAAGAGGTACATGACAGAGGCAGCAAGGGTAACTACACAATATTGATCAGTGGCAGGGTTGTTGCTCCATGGTGTGGACCAACACTTTATCATCAATCATCAAATAAATTTGGTTTGGAGGATACGACTCTCCTTTACATGCCAGCGGCTTGCATTAGCAGGTGTTGTGGTCATGGTGTGTTGGTGGATGATCGCCTTATGTGACTGAGGCGTTGATTTTGATCAGTCCGAGTATTGAACCTGGTGGATGTCGACAGGTAATGCGGACCTTGGGAAGATTGGGTGCTGGAGGTGGGCAGCCTTTGTTTGTTGGGAGGTCAATCGGACAAGGGTGGCGGCAAATGGGGAGTTGTCCACAAGATTAGGCTTCAGGATAGATTTGGATAGATGGCTAGACGTTCACAGTGCATAGATGTTTGTGTCGGATGTTCGCAGCCCATCAGTCACTAGTACATTGTGATTTGTGCAGGCCCAACTGTCGACAAGTACAAGAACCTATTCGAGGCGAGGGCACAATGTAGTGCCAGGCCGATATTTGATATATTCAGTAGTCTTATACTTATATAGTAATGGTCCAAGAAGTATTTCCTTTTTGCTTTGAGGAGCGGAGCCACCGAGTGCTTCCTGCTTTGTTCAGCTATGTTTTGGCACTTCACTTCCTGTCATGTTCGCACAACTGCTAGGCTGCTAGACTGCTACTGTAGATATGTACCTGACAAATTATACGGATGTGTAGAATATTGTAAAGGATCAGCAGTGTCGCGACGGTGATGCAAGCAGCTGTGGGTTCTAATCCTAATTAGCAAACATGTCTCTTCTACTTCTACGTAGACAAAGGCAATCAAAGGCAGCCTCTGGTTAAACCCAATTTTATAATTGCTGCCAGAATGGCTTGGCTTTGGTAATGTGACAATCAGTGCTTTCCACTTTGCTTTGGTTGCCCAGTAATGCAAAATCAGAGATTTAGCCTGAACAAAGAGCTTCATCAAGTGTGTCAGGATCATTACTAGTTCCACAGTCCTATTCTTTTTGGCTTATGTTGTGCTTTTTCGATTCTAGTTTTTCTTCGGCTTTCATCTCGCTCTCTCTCTCTCTCTCTCTCCCTCTCTCTCTATCTCTCTCTCTCTCTCGGGCAGTCAGCCATGCCAGGCAGTGGGCAATGCAATCATCCAAGAAGCGAAGGAGAAAGCAAAGGTGCGGCTATCGTGACAGTTGCTTGTTGGACACAATTGACCTCGTGCTTAAGGCTTAAGTTGTTCATCAATGTTAAATTATATATATATATATATTTATACAAGAATGTATATGCGGTTCCGCATCACATAAGACGGGTGTCCGAACTTACGTAGTGTAAGGCCACACAACCACAAAGGAAGCTTGGCAGGCACCAAAGCCAGTGCAGAAGGTCGTGGTACAGCCAACCCAAGATGCGTCAGTCTGGCAGGTTTTAGAAGAGGTGCGTTGACACGACTCTTTTTTCTTCCTGTGTGTGTGTGTGTGTCACACTCTGTATCTAAGAGTTTTCCTCGTTTTGTTCCAGCAGGGGGGCAGTGGACCACTATCATTCACTGCCCAACGAAGACAGTGATAGATCGGTCGTGAAGCAATGCGGGACGCCGCATTGTGTACCTGCTGAGTTTTTCCACAAGCTGTCACCCTACTTTTCCACGGCTTGATTCATGGTTCTTCACGCTTCCACCCCCGAAACCTTGGTTTTGCAGCTGAGTCGCGCCGCTCGTTCACTACCTCTGAGCTCTGCAGTCACGCACAAACAGCTTGGTCAACCTTTCAAGTGAACTGACTTTCTCACCATGCCGTTCCCTCACCATTTTCGACCTGGGAATTGAGTTAGCTGAAAACCAGTGTCAGAGTGTGAATCGCTCAGTCGTCCCACTTGGGTGCTGGGTGTGATCCTCCGCAAGGAGGCGCTGTTTTCATGCCGGAAATCGTGTAGCAGCTTCTACTCTTCCCTTCAAACCTTGGATTCTCTTAACCGTTTCCTTGTTCACCACTGGAGCGACTGCTTCACCAGCCGCCGGGCTTTCACGGAGAATAAACCCCGACGTGTTTTCTACCCCAAAAACCCAACCCCCCCCCCACACCCACTAATTAGGGTTATGATCAAAAAACCTAGATAAGACAGTGTCCTCTTTAAGCTCACCAAAAGCTCGCCCCAAAGCTCGTTTTCAAGCTCGTCTACTTTTAAAAGTTCAATGAACAGTTCACAAGTCCAAGCCAAAGTCCAATCAAAAATTAAGTCCAAGCCAAAGTCCAACCAAAAGTTCAAAGTCCAATCCAAAGTCCA